CTCTTACCCATTGAAGTCAATGACAGCATAGCGGGGAGAGGAGTCCCTGTCTGGGGTCAGGGTGGCCACACAGCTGTCCACAAAGAGCCTCAGAGCCACATGGTTCCCAGTGTGGACATCAGCTTGGATATGCATGACCTCCCCCAGCTGGAATCCATTGGAGGGTCTCTCAGCACTCCAGTCATCTGCAAGGCAAGTTCACAGTGAGCAGGACAGACAGGCAGGCAGGGCAGGGCTCCCCTGAAGTCTCCTCCCACCTACCATTCATCAGGTGCAGGGAGAAACCCAGCCTTTCCTCTGCAGACAGGGTAGAGCTGAAGGGAACCCACGTGGGCTTGATGGCTTTACTGCTCACATTGTCCTTCCTGTGAGAGGAGCAAACCTCAGTCACTGAGCCAGATCCGACAACAAGAACTGAATGGGAGGGAGGGATCCAAGTATCTCAGAGACTCACCTGGGGTAGTGACACTCAATGGGAATCACGGCTGGATTGGTTCTCAGGATCACTGGGTTGCTAGCAGGGGTAGGGTTATAGTTCAGGCTTGTGCTGTAAACTAGGGAGTCTGAGGTCATCTGGGAAGAATCAGACATGGAAGTGTTAGCAGCATACAAACATTCAAAACCACTAGGTTCAGCAAGACCTAGAGAGACATTTCCTATTAATGGAAAGTCTTTCAACACATGTACAACCATAGTTGTAAGGTTTTTACATTTGTTTTTAGAGTTCATTCCATAGAATGCCAGCCAGGTCAATACTGATGGGTACCATAGGCCCTAGTTCTACACATCTCTGGTCATTGCAGCATCTGCTTCTAGCACTGTCTTTCCTACAGGTAATCATCTTTTCTCCTACAGTGAAGATGAATTCACTTTGGAAGTTAGCAAGAATCTAGCTCCTATTGGGCACTCCCTTATGCTGTCAGCCATCTTTCCCTGGGCAAGGAGGATTAATCCAGCTGTCCTGGCCTATTGTTATAGGGACTCTCCCATAGCAAGTCACATATTGTGAAAATGTTGGGGGAGGGGGTGGGGAAGATCTGTTCACAGAGGGTGAAGGTCCAACAGCTGGTTGCAACCATCTCTTAGCATTGCAAGCAGGGAAAGCTGATCAACGTGGTGGTACCTCAAGAGATGACCCAGAGACTTAGGTTTCCTAGCCAATAATACACTGGCCTACAGCCTCCCACAGCACTGGGCATCAAAGATGTGGCAGAAAGTTAGGTGGGATCCAGGTGCTCCTGTCCACACCGCCATGTACTTCTCTAAAGGTACAGCTAAAACTACAAATAAAAGCAGTGTTCTTAACTCGGGTGAGCTAACTGGGGTTCAAATAGCAGAGAAGACCTGGCACATCAGTTTTAATCCAGGTTGCAGGTCAGATTCAACCCCAGGCTCCTCTACAAGCTTTAGCTGAGCTGCTAATGCGAAGTTAAAAAGCCAAGTTGCTGTGTCTCCAGTGCTGTTTGACCCCTCAAGATGCCAATGCCAAGTAAGAACTTCTGTGAGTTTAGACACACACTAGATCAATCCCTCTACAAGGTCACTATTGTGAGGCAAGTGTTAGACAAGGAAACCTCAAGCTAATAGAGTGACATGTGCCAGGTTCCTGGTCTCCAACTCAGGCCTGGCCAGGCATGGAGGAGTCACTCACTTACCCCTGTTCCTTATGGGGCACCAGGGATCACAACCTATCAGTGCATTTGCTTGAGTTTTCTGGTGTCTCACAGGACCAGGCCTACTCTAGCCTAAGCAAAATTTACAGCCTGTGTCCAGAGGGGACGTCACATTGTGCTACCAAGCATCCCTCCCCACCCTATTTTTGGGCACTGCTTTAAAAGCAGCGCTCAGGATTGTTGTGAGACAGGTGACATTAGGGATTATGATGCAGCATCCACAAGGGAGGACCAGAGTTAATCCCACCCTTTGGTGCCTTTCACCCAAGATTGCCTTTACTCCCCATTTATCCCACCCAACAAAGCACAGATGGGACAGAGGGTATGAGGCACACCTTACTCACAGGTGCTCTAGCTTGTATGAAGCTGCCTTACCTGCAAGGTGCTGCCACATTCATGGAGCCCAGCTTCAAAGGTCACAGTGTTCTCCACAGCATTAAGGGACGTGTACTGGCAGGCGGCCAGGCCAAGGCTCAGGTCAGCAGCTTTGATCAGTCTCCCCGTCCCAAACAGATCCCTGTGCACAGTGATCACCATCTGAGCCTCCTCACACTGCACTGTGACAGGCTGCAGCGGGGACACAGCCCGGAGCTGGGAAGCATCAACCCGAGCCCAGGGGTAGGGCTGGGCAAGAGAAGGTACATGGGGTTGTCTCTGAGGGGGCTCAACCCTGAGGTTGGGTCTCCAGATGGCTGAGTCACTCCTAGAGAAATCCCAGGGATTGTAACAGGTCACCCCACTGACTGCCCAGCACAGAACAACAAAGCCCAGGCCACCTCTGTACCCCATCCTGCCTGCCTGCAGCAAACCCAGCATGGAATGAAACTGTAGCTCTGGGGCCCTTTATACCCTGCACCTAAAGCCAGCTCACAGTTGCCCCAGGTAATTAACACCCTCACCTAGACAGCAGGCAGCTGGAGCCCAATCACACCCACTGCCCACACCCTGGAGCAGGGAAGTGGGAGGAACATTGGGAATCGGTCTCACCTGTTGGTCAGTTCATCAGTTGTATTTTGGGAGATTCCTACCATGTTTTATTCAATTAAAGTTTAAAAGATTGTGATATGATGGAAGTGCCAGCCGTACAGTCTGCTTTGGGAATGAGGGATTCCAGGGGGCTTTCCATCCTGTGGCAGTGATAGCTGTACCAGTGTTAAACTTGCAACATGGGTTCTGTTTAAAGCTGAAGTTTGCATCCTCTCTGAAATCCACATACACAGGCAGATCAGCTTCTGGGTCAATGGCTGGGGTGGAGATTGTGATGCAAATTTGAGTTCATTTGACCAAAGGCATCTTCTCCAGAGACAGCTCTGCCAAAGGACCTGTTTTTAAATGTGAACATTCTTATCATGAGAGTCATAGATTCCAAGGCCAGAAGAGACTACACACAAAATCTTGTCTGATGTCCTGATCAGCACAGGCCAGAGAACTTCCCCCAAATAATTCCTAGAGCTGATCTCTCAGAAAAATATCCAATCTGGATTTAAAAATTGCCAGTGATGGAGAATCTCATCCCCTCCCCAGGTAGTAAATTGATCCAATTGTTAATTACTCTCACTGTGAAAGATTTACACCTTATTTCCAGTCTGAATTTGTCTAGCTTCAACCTCCAGCCATTGGATGGTGTTAGACCTTTGTCTGCTAGGTTGAAGAGCCCATTATTAAATATTTGTTGCCCAGGTGGATATTTATACACTGTAATCAAGTCACCTCTTCACCTTCTCTTTGTTAAGACAAATAAATGGAGCTCTTTGAGACTATCCCCATAAGACATGTTTTCTAATCTGTTACTCCTTCTCATGGCTCTTCTCTGAACCCTCTCCAATTTATCAATATCCTCCTTGAACTGGATACAGGATTCCAGCAGCAGTCGTACCAATGCCAAATATAGAGGTAAAATGAAATCTCTGCTCCAATTCGAGATTTCCCTGTTTATATATCTCAGGATCACATTTGGCTGCAGTGTCACACTGGGAGCTCATCCCCAAATCTTTTCCAGAGTCACTGCTGTCCAGAATAGAGTCCCCCATTCTGTAAGTATGGGCTACACTCTTTGTTTCTAGATGTATATATTTACATTTAGACATATTAAAATGCATACTGTTTGCTTGCACCCAGTTTACCAAGCGATCCATATTGCTCTGTATCAGTGGCCTGTGCTCTTCATTATTTACCACTTCCCCAATTTCTGTATTATCTGCAAAAGTTATCAGTGATGATTTTATGTTTTCCTCCAACTCATTGATGAAAATGTTAAATAGCATAGGGCCATGAACCAATCCCTGCAGGACCCCACTGGAAACATCGCTGCTCAATGACGATTCCACGTTTACAGTTATATTTTGAGACCTATCAGTTAGCCAGTTTTTAATCCATTGAATGTGACATGCTCATTTTAGATCGTTCTAGTTTTTTAATCAAAATGTCATGTAGTACCAAGTCAAATGCCTTACAGAAGTCCAAGTCTACTATGTCAATACTGTTACCTTTCTCAACCAAACTTGCAATCTCATCAAAAAAGATATCAAGTTAGTTTGACAGGATCTATTTTCCATAAGGCCATATTGATTGGCATTAATTACATTACTCTCCTTTAATTCTTTTTTAATTGAGTTCCACATCAGCTGCTCCATTAGCTTGCCCAGAATTGCTGACAGTCCTATAATTAGCCAGGTCATCCCATTTACCCTTTATAAAAATTGGCACATTAGTTTTATTCTAGTCTTCTGAACCTCCCAGTGCTCCAACACTTACTGAAAATCAAAATTTACGATACAGCGAACTCCCCAGCCTGCACTCTTATGTGCACAGAGATAGGTATTGCTTGAGGGGGAGGGAGGGTCCACCTGAAGCCGAGATCATTGGGATACCCCTGCTAAGGGCTAGTGTCCAGCCCCAAAGTGCAAGTTCCTAAACTTGTCCCATCCATTCAACTTTATTGCTGGCCCTGGAGAGCAGTCCAGGGCTTGCTGGGAGCTCTGCGTGCCAGGCCAGTCCATAGCTGAAGATAGACAGAAGGCCCTGTAGTTTGGGGAAGTTGTACTTGGCTGGGACCCAGAAGGACATAAATTCAAGAGTCCTCTTCTACTGCTGGCTGTTAATATTGATGTGTATCACTCAGCTCTGATAATTGACTAGAGCTTCCTATCCTACATTGGGGGGGACACATCTCTCATTCTCCCCCATTTTACAGATCAGGTAACTTTGAGGCTGCACAAGGCTCCTTCTGGGAGAGCTCAGAATAAAATCCAGGCCATTAATATGACAGACCTCAGGGTCATCCATTGATCCATACTGGCATTTGAAATGCTCACCCCAAATGTCTATGGTGGGTTCTCTTGTCTGCAGCCTCAGCTCTAACCTCTAGAGCACACTTGCAGCCCAGAGACAGGCGCGAAAGCCAGGACGTCTGCATCTGCTGCTGTCTAACAGCCCTACTTACAGAGCAAGTTACCTCCGGGGTGAGGGACCCTGGGGTGGTTTTGAAGGGTCAGTGAGCAAATCCTTCTGCTGAGCTACATTGTGAGCTCTGTGGTTCCAAATGAAGGAATTTCTCTTTGGGGGTTTTGGGAAGGTTGCAGCTAAATTTCTCTTTGAAACCAAATGTTGCACTTTCTTCAAAATCAATCACACTAGAATTTTGCTAGGTGGCCATTCATTTTGGCCCTTTAGCTACGTGCCTCAGTTTCCCTGTGTGGAATGGGGATGATCGTATTCCCCTCAGCCACTGCAGCTTTGGGTAGATAAATTCAGGGGTGTTTGCGAAGAAGAGTGGAAAGATGTCAGGGGCTCGGAGCTTTCTAGGTCAGGATAGTCATGTGGGGAACGTTGGTCTGTGTTAGAGGGTTGGAGTTCTGCCAGGGGCAGTGGTTAGCGTGGGGACCCCATCTGCTGCGTAGGGTGGAGGAGGGCTGGGAGAACAAAGGGACCAAGGGGCTGTTGGGAATGTGGCCAGGGGACCCCAGGGATGAAAGAGGGTCAGAGACTTGTACAGATCAGGCACTGGCTTCAGATTCACCAGAGCAGGGTCCAGCCCTGGTTCTGCCACTCTCTTCTTCTGTGACCTTGCCCAAGTCATTCTGCCTCAGTTTCCACATGTGTGAAACAGAGATAATAGTTCCTCACTCCCGCAACACTGTCAGGGTATCTTCACTAATATTAGCAGTGTTCAGATAGTATAGTGATGGGGCTACGTAAGCACCTCGCTGGAGCCATCAGTGGCTGCTCTCAGGTGCCACCTCCAGTGTTAGACTCATGGAGAGTCTGGACAGCCCTTCTAACCCTTGAGAGGCTAGGTAAGGGGCACCAGTCTTAAACAGAAACAACGAGGAAACCTTATGGCACCTTAGAGCAGGGGCGGGCAAACTTTTTGGCCTGAGGGTCACACCAGCCCCCACCTCCTATCTGCCCCCCCAGGACTCCTGCCCCATCCAAACCCTCCTGTTCCCTGACGGCCCCTCTGGGACCCCTGCCCCATCCACACACCCCCGCTCCCTGTCCCCGACCACCCCCCGGACCTCCGCCGCCCCATCCAACCCCTCCTCTCATTCCTGACGGTCCCCTGGGACTCCTGCCCCATCCAACCACCCCTTCTCCCTGTCCCGACTTCCCCCTGCCACCCCATCCAACACCCCCTCCTTCCTGACTGTCCCCCAGGATCCCTGCCCCCATTCAACCCCCTGTTTCCCCCCAACCCCTATCCACACACCCCGAACTCCCCTGCCCTCTATCCAACCCTCCCGCTCCCTGCCTCCTTACCGCGCTGCCTGGAGAACTGGTGGCGCTACAGCCGTGCTACCCAGCTGGAGCCAGGCCATGTCGCCGCCGCCACCATGCAACACAGAGACCGGGTCAGGCCAGGCTCTGCAGCTGCGCTGCCCCAGGAGCTCACAGCCCCGGCGCCCAGAGCATTGCGCTGGCAGCGGAGCGAGCAAGCTGAGGCTGCGGGGGAGGGGGAACAGTAGGGGAGGGCCGGGGGCTAGCTTCCCAGGGCAGGAGCTCAGGGGCCGGGCAGGATGGTCCCATAGGCCGGATGTGGTCCACGGGCCGTAGTTTGCCCACCTCTGCCTTAGAGACTAACACATTTATTTGGGCATAAGCTTTTGTGGGCTATAACTCACTTCATCAGATGCCAAAAAAACCACGAAAGCTTATGTCCAAATAAATGTGTTAGTCTCTAAGGTGCCACAAGGACTCCTCGTTGTTTTTGCTGCTATGGACTACCACGGCTACCCCTCTGAAAGCAGTCTTAAATAGTGAACACCTTGGCAGCTACCCTCAGGGCCAGGCCTAAGCAGTCAAAGGGTAGAGGTGTTAGTTTGAATTTAAGGACTCCAGGTGCTAGCAAATCTTCCAGTGCTCCTGCTAAGCTGTACCAAGGGTTTTTCATCCCCCCCTCCCTGTAAATATTGGCATCTTCTGTTCAGTTTCAAGTTGGTTACTTCAGCTCCCACATCTCTTATGTCTTCATCTGTTAAGAAGGCCCCTGTGTCTGCAGTCTCCTCCCCATGTAGGAACTGCTAATCTTCCTTACTCTCCCCAGGTTATGGAAGAACTCTGGGCCCTGGAGAGAACACACAGTTGAGGGTAGAGCAGCACACCTCATTTTTCTTTCTTTTTGAAAAGACCAGGCAAAGAGCAGAATGGCCCAGGCCCACTGTTTCTACTTTCAGAGCTGTATGGCACAGCTAGCGATGTTTCCCCCTCCTCCCCCCTGCACTAGCTCTGCCAGCACCTGCTCAGGTGGCCGAAGAACATGTTAATGGAAGCGGGTTGTCGCTGTAACAGAA